TAAAAATCACAACTTGCTGTTGACACCACTAATTATTAACTGTTAACTCTGCAAAAAATAGCCAATAGAAAAGTATGTAATCGTAAATTTTCATAGCTAGTTTGGTTTTTAAATAAAATTTTTTGAAATTTTCGTTTGTTTCAAGATATTTTGCATAAGAACGCGTACTGACTTTATTAATCAATACTTTACCTTAGTACGTGATTTTATTTTATTTTACAACCGGCGTTGAACAGCCGATCCAATTTTGACGACTCCGTTGCGTGGTTATTTTGAGTACAACCCAGAAGACAAGTGAACTTCTGGTTCAAGTGCAGAGACAAACTACAGGACTTTTGTATTGAACTAACCAGCATTTGCGTTACATGGAGAGGAAAACTCTAAAGCTCTCCATATTTAACATGACAGTGAGGGAACTCTAACCTATGTTCCGTCTACCACTGGGGATATTTTGCGTGGTCGGTGTGAGCCGGTTGCAGAATTCATATCGACCAACCATAGCTGAAATTCGAATCTGGGTCAATTCATTGTTATACGAGTGATCTATCTTCTGAATCACCCAGTATATATTTTATATTTTATTTTATAACCGTCGTTGAAAAGCTAACCCAATTTTGAGTATACGATTATCAATGTTCATCTCTATAGGCTTGTAATTTTGAACCCAAACCAGAAGACAAGGGAACTTCTGGATCAAGTATAAGGAGTAATTTGAATTCGTGGAGGACTTTTCGATGGAACTAACGTATATTTGCGTTACATGGAGTGGAAAACCGCGAAAATCTCCCATGGTTAGCCAGATGACTAGAGAAATTTAACCTACTATTACCGCTGTCTACCTTATGTCAGCACTGTGGTCGGAGCAACCCGTGGGTGGAATTAATACCTGCCAGCCACCGCTAAGATTCAAACCTGGGTTCTCTCATTTGGAGGCGAACGTTCTATGCCCCTAGCCCCTATGCCCCTGCTCATAGGTGCATATTTTGCTTATAAGCAACCACATCAGAGATATTGAGAAATTATAATTTTTCTTATAAACTAGGGGACTAAGCCTCAAAGCTTCGCCTTAATTGTTGTTTCTTGGCAGAAATTTTTTTTTTGTTTTTTTTTTTACTTTTTAACAAAAGTTGAAATTACTTAACAGATATGTACTTAAAATAATTTTGTTTGCTTACGCTTGCGCCTACATTTCGCTCGACCAAATATTATTATCTATTAATATTATAAATGTTTAGATCTATTGACTAACAGAAGTAATTTTTCTAAGTAATCATTTTTTGAACTAACATTTATATTGTCATAACATTATATTGTTCTAACAAATTTGGTAAGTTCACTACCGTAATTTTATACTTTCGTTTACCAAATTTGCGGATATATTAAATACTATTTTATGTACTCTATGCTCTTTATAATACTCTTTTATAAAATGTGCTTCTGTCACATTTTGGATGAAGCTGATCGTTACGTTCTAAATCATTTAACAAATCCTTATAACGGTAATTTATAACAATATATCAATATTATTTGCACAAAAAATAATAACTGTTAAACGGTTAATAAGATTTGAAATTTTTTTTGAATCAATTTATGTTTAAAAGTAGCACAGAATTGCGTTATAATAATAAAAAACAACAACAATTCTCTTAGTTTTGAACTCTTAAATCAGAAACGTAATAATACCAGTACATGAAAATACTTTTAAATTAGGGACACAAAAATATGTATAGAAAAACAATTTCAGAATGCAACGACCTATAGGGGGCTATAATAACTGCTAGCGGAACATCAATTGCACTGAAGATTTCTGCAATGTAGCATAATAACGTTCTTTCTTTATTGTGGCTAATAAAATTTAATAAAGAAAAATGTATGATATTCTTTCGTATGCAATTGAATTAAAAAATGGAATATCTTTTTTTTAGAGAAACATGCAAAACACATGGGAAAATATTTATAAAAAATCTTGTTATTAGAGTTTAAACCTATTGCCGGAGAAATCGTTCTACTACATTTAATGATCTAATATGAAAGGTCTATTTAAATTTCACATTCCATACATTTTTGAATCATATTACTTCAAACATTAAAATTATGTAAAAAGTATACCGAAGCACACAATGTTATACCATTTAATTTTGGAAAAAAAGTTTTTTGACAAAAGTTTTTATCAAAAAATTTAAAGTTTCAATAAAAAATCATCATTTATAAACTAAAAAACGAAAAATAAAGAATATTTACGATAAATAAAAACGATTCCAAAAATTCCTCATATTGAAATAAGAAAATTTCATATTGTTTTTTTTTAGTCTTTAAGTTCTTAATCAGACGTGGAAAACCATTCTGTAGAGAACTTTCATCAAATTAGAAAAAAAAATTATCTACAAGTAAATTTTTTATTACAAAAATCTTGACACTCACTTGTTTCAAGAATCCGGAGATTTCCAAATGAAATATTCTTCGTTTGAAAATTTTATTCTCATATAATAAATATATATAGATTATCCCTTCACTACTTTTAGATAGACATACAACACAATTTTATAGTTGTAAGCTCTCGATATGAATTTCACATATGTAACTTAAGAACAGAATAGCTGAATTCCAGTTTTAATTATTCATTCAAAATTTAAAACAAAAACACTCACCAAGAAAACGATAAAAAGTTATTAATAATCATCACAAACGATACTATTCCAAGTAATTCGGATGATTCTTTATTCTTGTTTTCCGAATTATATAGATTCAGAAATATATATACTATTATATAAAAAAGAATATTCTATAACTATTACAGTTCTGCACGTTCTGAAATCACGTTTATTCATTGGGATGAAGTAAGCAATGTTGACTTCACTTTAATTTGTTTTGAATCGAAGAAAAAAAATTTTTTTCCGTAATTCACACATCTGCAACAGTATACGATCACGAAATTGTAAGTTATCGGTAGCAAGTTTATTGATAACAGAAAGATAAACATTATTCAGAAATTGTTCTTCAAATGTTGGGCGCATTCTGTTTCAGAAAGATTTTCTACTGCTCTGGGTCGTTTTTTTTTCAAGTTCTTCCTTTTCCTTAGGGAAATTTTTGGTTCTTATTTGCTGCTAAAAAGATGGCGTCCTACTCTGCCAATGATTCTGATAGAACTGAATGAACACTTAATAAATAAAAGCCTGAAAATATACTATCCCGCTAGAGGGCGTATTCAAGCGTTGCGATCGCGAACACCTTTATTACCTACATTAATTTTATACTGATGACAACTAAAACAATATGGAACTGAATAAGGGAAAACTGGATCCTTCCAGGTGATTTTCCGGCTAATAAAAATGCATCGACAACAATGGAACACTGTACTAAATGATTATGCTTTTATGTTATATCTAAAAGTATATATATATAACGCTAGTCTAAATAATTGAAGAAAAAATTTTTTCTTCAAAGTATGCAACGTGCATGCACTCTTCTACTGATAAGTGTAACTTTACGTGTATTATTAGCCTTTGTATACTTGTGAATCTGGAACAGGTTACAAATAATTCAGAGATGCCAACTGCTCCAGACACGCCAAAATAATTAAAAAAGCGGTGAAAACTGCAAAGTAAACTTTGCAAATATTTGACTATTTTTGTGTGTTTTTTAAAAGTCATAGAACGACATAAGCATACCTGCAAACTTTTACGCATTTGGCGTCAAATTTTATTTTTATATTTAAAGTGGTAGTGAAATGTATGCTTTCTACAGATTCCTTGCATTTATCAACTTAATTTATGATCTTTTATACCACGACTATTTTTTAAAAAATTAAGGATATATATTAATATGTAATACTGTCGTAGATGTCTGCGTAAGCTTTTTCAAACTTCAGCGTATGATTATGCCTAAAATAGTTATTAAAGTTTCATTTTACTGCCCCTGGGGCATAAATTAAAAGTTAACAGGTATGCATTTTAAAGGCTCGAAAGGATTAAAAGTTAGCAGGTATGCACAAATACTTCATTCGTTGTTGTAGAACTGGGCACCTGATGCCTAAATGGCCCTTTTCCCATTCATCTTGAAATATCCCATGACTGAAACATACATAGGAAATATGTGATGTTGGCTGTATGCATACCCTCCAACTGCTACGGAATTTCCGTAGTTTCAGAAATCTTCTTTTCAGACGGTAGCAAAATTAATGTCTTAATATTTATAAAAAAATTTTTTTACCGTAACTTGTCCACTATTACTTATAAAAGCGCAGGCCATATGGCTAGATTCTTATGTTCTGATAAAAGTTTTATGAATGATCCATTTGCTTTAAAAATTTCTACTTTGGTTCGCTACCACTAGAAAGAATTATTTTCAAAATCTTCATAAGTTGGAGGGTATGGCTGTATGCATAAACGCTATATGGTGGTGAATTATATAATCCTACGAATTATTTAGAAATAGTGGTGGATAAAAATGAACTGAATTGAATTTATTGAACCAAGAATCACAATTGATAAACTACCACTTAAAATATATATTTGCTGTCCGGAGCAATTTGGCATCTCTGATAATTAATGTATGCACCATTGGTCACTCAGCACATACAGAGATGCCAACTGCTCAAGACACGAAAAATAATTTAAAAAAAAAACGGTAAATAGCTAAAAAGTAAATTTTGCAAATATTTCACTATTTTTGCTTGTTTTTTGAAAGGTATAGAATGACATAAGTACTTAAAGTTGTGAATCATATAAGCCTACGAATTATTTAGAAATAGTGGTGGATAAAAATCAACTTAATTGAATTTATTAAATCAAGAATTACAATTGATAAACTACCACTTTAAATTATATATCTGCTGTCCGGAGCAAGTTGGCATCTCTGCACATATCCCAATAATTATTTATCTCAATAGCAACTTGGAAAGGACACACTTTCTTTTACACTTTATTCAATTAAAAACATTAGTTTTAATATTTGTTTATTTCAATTAATATAATGAATACATGAAGTATTATTTCTTTCAGGGTGAGAGTTGAATTTTATGTGAACGAGAATAATGTCAAAGAAAGATTGCAGCTATATTTCTTTAAAAATCAAAGTTCAAGTAAGTACTCGTTTCAGTTATATTAAATATTTTCATAAAATTTGCTAATACATACTTGTAGAAGTTCTTGCTGAGTAGATTGCATGGATTACGCAACAAAAGTTTAGCGTTCTGCTACAGAAATTAGTGAAACAAATGAAATAAAAACCGTTTACAGAACTGAAAACTCTGAATAGTAAACAATACACTGGAATAGACATAAAAAATATTTTTATGAAGATTGTTTTGAATTATGTTTTAAAGTTTGGAAGTTGCCATAAGCTTTTGTTTGTGAAAATCAAGGGGTTAAATATAGGCATCTAGTAATTACCATTGCTGATCGTATTGATATTGTTAGTGGTATAACCTAGTGGTTCCCTATAAGTCCACCGCGGGACCCTCGCACTATTACGAGAAAGAGTCACAAGGACTCCAAAAATTAGAGCTTTTTTGAACTATTATTTGAAACCTGTAATTAGATTATTCAATGAATATTATATTATTTGTTTCATACTTTTATTATTTTGATGAGATTATTTAAGAAAAATTTCAATGAATAAAGAAAAAGAAATTTAAAGAAATTTTTTTTTTCGTACTGCATAAACTATGAATAAAAAGAGTTGAATAACTATAAGAAAAGATAAAAAGATTTTAAAAAATTACACTTCTATTTCGCATCATATATTTAAATAGGAAGTAAAATAGCCTAATTCAACAAGAAAAGAATTTGAAAGCATAGATTAAAAGAAATAAATTATTCAAATGAATAGCTTATTCAATGAATATTCCATTATTTGTTTCATTTTTTTATTATATTTATGAGATTATTTAAGAAAAATTCCAATGAAAGAAAAGCAAAATTTAAAACAAAAAACTTTTTCTCCGAACTGCATAAAATATGAAACAAATGTAGAATAAACTATATAAATAATTTGATGTTTTCCTACCGCTAGAAAATTAACTTCCGATTACCAGCACATATTTTGGCTAGTAATTTATGCAATACTTTTGAAGTATTTATTCTGAAACAATACTCCCATGAAATTTAAGAATTATATATAATAAATTATTTTTTGCGAAGAGTGGTAGATTAATTTTATCAAATATACTTCAAATGAAGTTTTAATTTTCTTGGTAAAACTCGGAAATAAGGAAACCTAACGCAGATGAAAGCGAGCATAATTTGCTCAATGGTTTCAGTTTAACACGGGAGTAACCGGTGACCGGCGAAGCCAAGATTATTGAAAACGCATAATACGAGTAAATGTTTAATTTTTTACATTATTATCGTTACTAATATGGTTTGAGGAATATAGAACACACTAATATAGTTTTATTTATATACGCAGAGATGCCAACTTGTTCCGGACAACGAATAAATATTTTCTAGTGGTAGTTTATTTATAGTGCATCTTGGTTTAATAAATACAATCTTGTTGATTTTTATCCCCCATTATTTCTAAACAATTCGTAGGCCTATATAATTCACCACTTTTATCAGATATGTCATTTAAGGGCGGTAAGGCCTCAGACGCCCAGTTCCAGTACAAGGAACGAACAGCTAAAACTTTTTAAATGCTAAAGCTTTTAAAACTAGCAAAATCTGTCTAATATTCGCAAATTTAGTTTGTAGTTATTTATCGTCGAGGCCAGACGGCAAGCCATGTAAAATTAGCGTGGCATTCAGTGTGTTAAATTTAGCTTTAACCGGTAAGCACCCAGCGTCATATTTGTAGAACAGCCTTTTTTCTTTCAAAAATATCGATTGCGGTAGGGTAATATGTCTTGAGAGAGAGCTTTACAGATAATTTACACTACATATGTCGCTGGTGATTACTTAATTTTGCATAAAGAAATTGCGCGTTGAGGAAAATTAGCAAAGCTGTCCGAGTTAAAAAAAAATGGATATGACTCGAAAGGCAAGTTCAGAAAAGTCAATATAGCTCCGGCTGAGCAAGGTTGACTCAGTCCTTCATTCCTTCAGCGGGTCGATAAAATGAGTACCAAGCACGCTTGGCGATTAAAGACTGACTGGGGGTTCCGAGTTCGGCTGACCACCCAACTGGAACATCTATCTGCTCCTGCACCCCAGAGCCCAAGGTCAAGAAAAATGAGATGGGGACAGTAGGTCTTAACCCGTTTTGAACTGTCGCGCCACTGAGTTTAGTTTAATTGTATTTCAGAGGTCAGTAGCTTGGCTAACACATGTATTTTTTATTTAATATTAAATAGTTGATAGGTCTCGAACTAATAATCAAACTTTTAATATAGGAAAATGAAATGCGAGATGGCATATCTTATTTGATAAATTCATTACAGTGCATATTACTCTAATAATGAATATATGTAAGCCATGACAATTTGTAGGGAAGCTTTAATTGGCTTTTTCATCATTTCCGCATCAAAACGGTATAATAACATATTCATTTGGAATACCCTCAAGTACTGAGATGATTAAGAAACTCATAACAATCTATTCCATTTGGGGTAATGAATGTTCATTCTGACCGAATAGTTTGAATTCTCTTTGCAACTATGGTATTTTGGGAATAAGAGAAACATTGGAATTTCGTTTAGACTGCGCAATTATTTGAGTAATACGGTTTCTTCACGTAATGATTGTTGCTTATGAAGACATTTCAAGGTTATACGATGTATTTTGTAATATGCTTAGTGAATCAAATATATAATATATATAAATGTTTTTAAAGGATTTACGCGTGTAGTGAAAGAAATAAAAACATATTAGCCTGAATAACTCTGATTTAGAGATGAAATAATTTTTATGTAACACATTTTGATATAATATTACCAAAACATTTATTTTGTAGAAAATTAAAAGTGTGGGGGGAAAAATATTTTGTGTTCGTAATAATCATGATACTCAGGTATATTGTGTAGTTAAATATTGTTAGTAAATTTGAATAATTATTCGCTAAATAATAATGCGAGTCCCCCACGAAGACAAAATTACTGGAGTTCCCTGGATTGAGTTCAAGATTAGAAGGCTACAGAGTTGAACATTGGTAGTCGTAAACTCAAAATTGGGTCGACTGTTCAACGACAATTATAAAAATTAAAAAAAAAAAAAATCGGGATACGGAAATTAAGAAATTTAACCAGAAATCCAAAGTAGTAAGACAAGAGGCATCTTTATCTGATAAAAATAATTTTATTCGCTCCATCGTGGGAAAACTTCAAAACTGATTTCATAAAACTTATTTTATGAAATTTCAATAATTATTTTAACCAGCCTTGAGAAAAATATGTCATCACTCTTTACATTTTGTAAGGTTTATAGATGCACTGTAATTTGATGATGTATTCTTATGGATACCTTGAGTCAGAATCAGATAAACCTGTACAATCTTAATAAACTTGCACAATCAGAAGAAGAAAAATAAACTAAATTAAAAACATAATTTTGAAATAAAATCTACAGCTTTTGGAACAAAGTTAATTTCAGATTTAGAAGTGTTAGAAGAGGTAACCTTTTATTTTAAGTAGCATAAGTTATTTTCAACACAAAGCAGAACTCACGTGTTAGATTAGTAACACAAATTCATTTAATTTGTAGAGAAAATAAACCTAGATGGCCCTTTTTCTGATTTTGAGACTCAAAAGCTGCAATATAATGTTTTTTGTTTCTTCAAAGCTTTCGGCTTTTAGCTTGTATGTTAGAAATGGTAGCAAATTTTATTTTCGGCCATTTTGCTCCGGACATGTCAAAATAATTTTAAAAAAACTTGCAACTATTTGACTATTTTTGCTTGCTTTTTAAAAAGTTTAATATGACATAAAAATAATGAAGTGGTGAATTATATAAGCCTACGAATTATTTAGAAATAGTGGTGGATAAAAATCTACTAAATTGAATTTATTAAACCAAGAATCACAATTAATAAAGTACCACTTTAAAATATTTATTTGTTGTCCGGAGCAAGTTGGCATCTCTGTATATTTAATAAATTTTATTTAAAAAAATTGAGACATTAATAATTGTCGTTAAAACCGTTAAACCCTTTTCTTTCTAATAGGACCGTCCCGTTTTTCAAAAAAGGTAAAAAATGGTACTTCATGTGTTTGATTATTGGTAAATAGTTTTCAAAAACAAGATAGATATATTGACCCCAAAATATGAATGATACAAAGATTTATTTTTAAATAAAATTTGAGGCGTAGTGCTTTCCAAAAGTTAAAAAAAGAAAGAAAAAACTAACTATCTACTTGGGATAAAGAAATATGAACTACTATTTTTTCGTGTTGGTGCTTTTCATATATTGACAACTTTATTCTATTTAAAGCATTAATGGGTAAAATTAGGCAATTAAGTGTAGCCTTAATTTTTTATGCTAATTATGATCTTGCTACCACTTTGAATAGTGGGGAAGCATTGTTAGCATTTGTGGTATGGCATAATGTTTTATATCTTCTTTTTTACAAATTATTTCTTTTAATTGCAGGTCTAAGAGTGAGAATTTTTACATTAGTTATCAAATTACTTCTATGCTTACTGTATGTGATAAGAGTTATTTTTGATCGAGGCCCAAACCATGCAGCGTGGTAAGATTTATTTTTTTTACTTTAATTCCTTCTGAAATTAATTTCAATCATTTTTAATCTTTATGTGATTATTTGCATATAATTATTTCTCAAGATTTAAAGCATTATCTTGTTATATATGTTGTTCTCATATCAGTCTTTTTTCGATTTCTCAAAAGCATGAGTCTACTTCTAAATACAGGATTTCTCTCACAGGATCCTTCTTAATATGCATTTTTATTATCCTTAATAAACAAGAAAACTAAAAAGTATACACGTAAAGGGGGGGGGGTCGCAAATTAATATTTTTAAGGAATGAAAAAAACTGTTTTTAAATTAAAATCTAACAAGTCACCTTACAGGAAGACATATATAATAAACAACATAATTAATCCCGGTTTGATGATTATTGTATCGTCTTCCTTAATTGTGATTTGTCAGATTTCTAGAACATATTTGTTTTTTTCCCCTCGCTTTAATATTAATTTACGTCCAAAGCATAGGATTTTTATCTCATTTTTATGAGGCTTCTAAAAAAACCTTGAGCTGTTAAGGGTGGTCTTTATGGAATACCCAGTAGGGAAATGTTTAAACAAGGTTGCCACAGGTAGCAGAAAATAAAAGAAGTACTAACTAATCAAATTCAAAATTTTATCCAGAGAGAATAAAATTAACAATTTTTTTAAAAATATATTTTCAGTAGACAATTGAAAGTGAATGCCTTTGGTTTAAATATGAATAATTTGAAATGCATGTTTTGATGTTAATTACAGTTGACTTATTAAAGACATGATAAATAAATCAAAATGAGTAGAGTTTCTACCACTTTTTTACATTTTTAGTCACCAGTGGCATCTCTGTCTGTCATGACGTGCATTGAAAATTGTACTACAAATTTTATAACACCTTTTTGAATTGTTTTAATGTGTGTCAGAAATTTGTCAATATGGTATACATTATTATTTCGAATTTTGAAATTGTTTTTAAGAAGGTTAATTTTCTAGATTTCATTTCTTCGAAAACTAATATAACAATTGATCAAGAGAAAAGTTAATAATCACACTTAATGAACATTTTCGCAACAGTAAGAGCGAAAATTATTTAAATGAACTTAAATGGTTATTGTTTTGCAACTAAAAAGATAAATTGTATTTAAATATTAATATATATTTTTTTGAAAAAAAAACGGTAGATTTTATTATTTCAATTTGGAATTTTTCGGAAGTAGTTTTAAGAGATGTGAAAAATCTAGGCTAATTATAATCCTTCTCTCTATGGGTAAATAAACAATTTAATTTATGCTTGAATAATATATATGTTCAACATCATTGAAAAATTAAATATTTTTTACTTTTATATTCTTAATTTTGTTGGTTATCATGTCACATTTTGCTAACCTTTTTGTTTTGTGAAAAGCAAAAATAATATTTTTCAGTATTTTAAGCTGTGAAAAAATTCATCTATCTATAAATATAATTTTTGTTGCATACATAAGCATTTTTAGTGACTGTCAGCAAAATTAAAAGTCAAAATCCTGGTGTCATAAATGCAAGGCTGTCAACTACTACGCCTTTTGCAAGAAGTTTTATATAGTGGTATACTATTAAAAACTAGAGCTTTTAAAGTTTTAGCCTATGTTTTAAAAGCATAATCACGAGAGAACTGGAAAAAGTGGCGTTCCATATGAGTTTTTGAATAATTTACAGAGAATCACTTTAAATCGGATCATGGTGCATTTTGAAAAAATGGTGCAGAGAATAACTTTAAATCGAATTTACAAAACTAAGAATCATACACTTAGTTATCACTAGAAGAATGGCAGTTATGGAATATTTTACTACCCCCCCCCAAAAAAAGTTAGAAATGAAATTTAAATTGTACCAGTTTTTTACTCTTTCCGTCTTGATATATTTATTAGCTTTTAGCATTGTATTCGCATATAATTGAGTTTGGAAATTATTTCATGTTGCACAATTTAATTTCCAGTTTAAATATCATTTGAATATTGAATACTTTTCGAAGTAGACAAAGCATTTTTGTGAACTCTTCAAATTTAAATACGTTGAACTTAGATACGCTTAGTTTAATCTACACTTAGAAGCTTTACAGCTCAATAATTAGGTTTTATACTTTTTTTTAAATAAGGAAGTGGCCAAAATTAATGAAAACCAAGTTTATTAAATCAAAATTAGCCACTTGCACTTCAAGGATTTGCACGGACGAAGCAAGACTTTACCAGAAAAAAACTGCTATTTCAGAGACCACAACTATTTGAAAGCAGTTTGAATTATTTTTTGTAGTGGAAGTGAAATAAAGCAGAATTTTTTGAAACAAGCAATTAAAAAAATCCTTTAGAAAACACCTGGGGGTGACCTGCTTTTTGAGGGACTTCATATCACGCTATGAAAGTGGTGACTTGGAAGTCTCTGTGTATAGGAGCAAAAAACTTTTAGTACTTGCACGAAGTACAGAACTGCTCAAGCATATTTTAACTTGTTTTGATTTTAAGTTGGAAGAGGTTTTATAGAAACTTCTGTTTTTAGACTCTCAGGAAATTTATGAACCTGAGGAATCGGTCTAGTTGGGTTAGACTTGACCAATTAGAATTGAACGATTAGAGGGAACCGTTCAAGTATATTTTAACTTGTATTGATATTAAGGTGGACGAGCTTTTATAGAAACTTATGTTTTTAGACTTTCAGGAAATTTATGAACCTGCGGAATCGGTGTAGTTGGGTTAGACTACTTGGGGAATAGAAACAACAACATATTAAGTCTCAATTGAATGATTTGAGGGAACCATTCAAGTATATTTTAACTTGTATTGATATTAAGGTGGACGAGGTTTTATAGAAACTTCTGTTTTTAGACTTTGAGGAAATTTATGAACCCGCGGAATCGGTCTAGTTAGGTTAGACTACTTGGGGATTAGAAACAGCAACATAGTCAACCTTAATTGAATGATTTTTGGGAAACAAACATTTAATTTAGATGTAAACAGTGCATTTAAGTAATTAACAAAAAATAAAGCTTTCGTACGTCACGCGTTTTTAATCAATACCATTTAAATTTGAAAATTATGATTATATTTAAAAGTCATTTAGATATACGCACATAATTATTAATCTTACTTTTGCAGTTATGGTTGCTTTCCTCAAAATATTACTATGTATCTGACACCAGATGTTAATTTTAATGAAAATGGACCAACCTCTCATCATATTAATTGGTAAGTGCATTAATGCCATTTTGTATCTATAAATATTATTAAAATCAATGATGTTTGCATACGCTCGCAAGAAAAATTTAAACATGATTAAAGGTTACTAAAAACACTTTTAATAAACAGTTAATTCCAAATGTTCTAATAACTAGGTGTTCACTTTCCGGACCGATTATTATTTGATCTAAATATATTTTGCCTAAATCATATCCTTATATTATCTAAAATTTTTCTATAAAATAGTTCATTTTTATTTTCGTTTTCAATACAATATACAAGATTGAATACGATACCATTGAACAAAATACTTGTAAATTTCAGTGTCTTTACTATGGGATTGTTTAAAGGAAACCCTCTATTGTACTACATTGTTTGTTTGGAATAATTATTTTCTTTAATAATCTCACTTTTACAAGGCAACAAATTAGACAGTGCGAAAAATTATTTAAGAAAAAAAGTTTATTTTTCTGTTTTGGTATTTGTTGTACTTTGTAAATAAAAAAAAGTTCCTTTGCTTTAATATTGAAGCAGAAAAAGTCAAGTTTCGAGTGCTTATAACAAAAAAAAACTACCGTTTTCTTTAAAAAAAAAAAAAAAAGACCAGGCTTAAATTGGAAGTGGTAGAAATTAAAAGTATCTAACAAATTCCGCTCAAATTCAAGTGAGAACAAAATGTTACATGCAGATTCTAAAACAATAGTTGAATTAAACTATAATTACTAATTATACAATATTTTTTCAGGAATGCAGTTCTATGGGTAGACCGTCCTTTGACACTATGGATTATCCAAGTAAGTTGAGCAGTGTTTTGTATTTAATTTGATAGCTTGGCATCGTTTATCTGAAAAAAGTTCATTAGAATTTTTTTCTTGGGAACATATAATAATAATCTAGCGCTGTTTAACACGCTGAGCGCCATGTCAGCCATCGGTGGCTGACACTGGACTTTCCATTTAGGCCGCGTCAACCACCGGTGCCTGATACTGAAATTGCATTTTGGCCGCGTCAATCACCGGTGGCTGACACTGAAATTACATTTAGGCTGCGTCTACCACCGGTGGCTGACACTGACCTTTCATAGGCAGCGAAAAACGGCTGGCTGACAGAGTATAACATGATATAGAACTATAAAATTTGCGCTCTTTCATGGAATTGCAGAAAATTTATTCAAAATTTACTTAATTTTTGTGATTCTTGGTTTAATAAATTAAATTTATTAATTTTTTTTTCACCACTATATTTAAACAATTCGTAGGGATATATAATTCACCACTTTTTTTCAGATATTTATACTAAACCTTTTATAAACGTGCAAAATCTGTCTATATTTGCAAATTTAGTTTTTAGTTATTTACCCAGAGATGCCAACTGCTCCGGACGCGCCTAAATAATTTATAAGACGGTAAATAATTACAAATTAAATTTAACAATATTTGACTAATTTTGCTTACTTTTTAAAAGGTTTAGCATAACTTTACTACAGCAAAGTGGCGAATGATATAAGCCTTCGAATTATTTAGAAATAGTGGTGGATAAAAAACCAATAAATTGAATTTATTAAACGGAGAATCACAATTAATAAACTACCACTCGAAAATATTTATTCGCTGTCCTGAGCAAGTTGGCATCTCTGTTTACCGTGTGTTCTAACGAGCAAGCCATGTAAAATTAGCGTGGCATTCAACGTGTTAAACATTATTAAATGGCAAATTTTAAAGTTTTTTTTAAAATTGGAAGCATGAAGAGACGTTCTTGTTAATAGGAGTTTCTGAGAATATTTAGATAGTTGTCGGAAACATTTTTTAAAATTTATGATAAGAAGAGAGGGATGAGATTTTGATTAACATGAAATCTGTATTGATGGATAGATGTTAATGAAACTTGGTATATATGTTGCCGTTAAAGTGTATAATTCAGTTATTTCGTAGAATAACTAGGTATTGCATGATTTAATTAGACAAGTCAGTTAAAGTATATAATAGATGAAAGATTTCATACTTTACCGAGTTATTCTATGAAATAACTAGCGATGGACAGTTAAAGTAAAAAATAAACAATTTGAAAGTTATTTTATAAATTAGTTTATTATAAATAGCTTAAATGTCACGAAAAATACATTTTATCCATAGTGCGAATAATTAATTGATAAATAATAAGGAAAAGCAACATAAATTCACCGTCTGAATTTTACGTCTAAAAGCAATGGAATAAAGCATACACATTCACACATCATTGTAAAGCAGCTGTAAGCAGTTACAATCTGACTAAAAGTAGCTAGATCCATTCGAGGGCCTTATTTCATGCTTTCACGATCAAGTTATTGTTATTATTTAGAATACTTAGTCAAATCGCAGAATTCAATAAATTTATTTACTTTCACTGACTTGTCTAGTTATTTCATGAAATATTTAATTATTATATGAAATAACGGATTTCACACTTTAACGAAAACATATAAATTTTATGGACCATGAGAAATAATAGTAATAAGTAATAAATAAGTAAAATATATCCTTTAAAATTTAGTATGACGTCCCCCACATCAAAGAGGAAAGAATGGAATAACATCAAGTTTATTGAAACATGCCAAATTTATACGGTAGTTGAGTTCGGATGCAAGATTGCAAAACAACAACGAACTTTTCAATTTCCAGCTCCATTCCATTGGAAACGGATAGTTCAATTTCTTTTTCTATTGGAATAAGGTAGGGGACGCAAACCTGGATTTTTCCTGAAACAGATATGGCGAACGGCATTTTTTTTTCGATTTCAGAATTTGGAATTTAAAAATATAGCATAAATCAAACATTTCTATAAACAAAATACATTCTAAAGCCGCTTCAAAATCGTCGCACTTTGAACTTTTTTTTAATATTATTATATTCATTCATTTTTCTTTCGCTAAAAGGAGTTTATTATTATTTTTTATTTTTTTAAAATTTTTTATGTACATGGAGATGTTTATGATTTCCATTTAATTTAATTTAGAATACATTAAGAAATAGTTTTCAATGGAAGTTAGCCCCAAAAAAATCGGTGTCGAGGGTACGTGACAAGCGTTTACCGGGCAATAAAAAACAACAGAGCTCAGGCATAACCTCCTACATCAGAAAGCCTTCACACGGTTTCTTATAAGTAGTCTGCGCAGATTATTTAAAAAGCGAACCACTTGTGCGCATGAACTCAAATTCTATTTTGAAAGTACTTGTGAGAAATTTATCATATATATTTGAGAATTTAATATGTAGTGGTTGACAAGTAAATAAAACAAACCAATTATATTCATAAAGTAAACAAATTTTTAGACATATATTTGCTACCACTTTCTAATTTTTAATAGATTTAATATTAAATGGTTCTTTCACGAATTTGTTTACCTTTACAATGGTCTGATCGGTATACCAACAAAAAACCGTGGGGAGGCTTTCAGTTAAGAGTAAAATAGCAAAACTCAGTTACTTTTTTTTATAAAAAAGGAAGAAAAAAACAGCATAAGTAATATTCATTTTTAACCTTCTCTTACCTGCAAAAGGAATTAGTTTGACATTGACGGGCTAGTGATTACCTTCAATTTTAATGTTCTAAGCGTTACGATACTTACAGATATCTTTTAAGAAATTGCATCAAAAATTAGCAGCTAGAATTGTCCTTTTTTATTATTTGTTTTGCTTCCTGGTGGCAGATATTTAAAGTCGACAGAATAGTGCACTTAAATTTGTAAAAACATGTTTCAAAAATGCCCCACATTCCACGAGAATTATTCTCGTTCATTTAATATTGAGCACCAAATGGGAATAATTACTAAAAACATGCAATTAACTGTCAGTGAAACTCATTTTTAATGTAATAGAGCTGTAAGTTATCAGATATTATCTTCTAATGGGTCATTTAATTGGGAGAATTCAGTTTTTATGTATCCCGTTCTACGGGCTTTGATTAGAATATTTTAATTGTTACAATAACCATCTAATACATCTTACTATCAGTGTGTCAAATTTCATAACAATTGAATGAATGATTTTTAGGTTTAACTTTTTTGCGCCAACTCTCACAAACACGTGCCAGCATATCTTTTTACCTTGATTGATACGGTTTTGTATCAATCAGGGTAAAAAAATAAAACTGGTAGCCAAAGTAGTTCTTTAGCAGTGTATTTGTGGGAGGGGTTACAATTGTTTGATTTATTTTATTCACCATTACTTTAGTTCAAAATAAAATTATTTAGATATTCTTTAAACTAACTTTGATTATATATATGGTTTAACTAACAATAATTAAAGTAAAAGCAAGGTAAGTCTGTCAAATTAGCAACGACTACATTTAAGTTACCGTTTTTTATTTATTTACATCTGATTCTGATTTTGTACGAATGCTTTTCTGAATCACCCGTTCCCAAGGGGTTAACAAATTGAAGGCAACAGGGACACAAATTTTCACTTTTAAAAAGATAAATAATCTATTTTTTTACTTAATGCCTTTCATATTAATCATACAATTTCTTGTTAATGCGAAGAGTATTTTATATTCCAGATGGTGCTATCGATCGTATGTCTTACAGAAGCCTTACTTCTAGTTTACTTAGGTTATAAGGTAAATATTTCTTTTGTTATCTATTTAATAGACATATCTTTTATTTTCACGATTTTATTATTTTGCACTGATTTCATTGTAAAATAAACAATTCAGATTTAAACAAAGCTGTTTAATTTTGTTATGTTTTATAGTGTTTTTTTTTTAAATTTTTTGAACATATTAATTAATTAATTGAAGAGATTAGTGGATAAAAAAGGTATAACTATTCTATCCAAAATATCACTACTAATTAATCATTTAGTTCTTCTTAAAAAAATTAAAGGCTTAATCGCAAGTAAATAATTAAACTTAAAACAAAAACGAGTACATAACACTTTTATTTAGACAAATTGTTCCCTCGTATCGCCATAGCAACCTAATATCACATCGTTTGCTTTTGATAATAAAAGCTTCATTTAAATTAGAAATGTTATTGTTTAACAGTTCATAAAAGTAGCTACCATTTTCTTAATAATAAAACTAATATATCTACGCATATTATATTATATAGAAAATATAAATTTTTCTTTAAAAATAGCACCATTTAAGTTAAACAGGAAAATAATTCTACATCTATCTTACCTATGAAATATCCTTCAGCAGCGACTGTTCCACCCTGTGTATCTTAAAATTGTCCTTTTTGCTGTTACAAAAATATAATAACATTCTGTTCCTCAGTCTCAATTAAAATTAAGTTTTAAAAGCGTATTTTTTTCATTATTTAAATTAGATTAGGCATTCCTTTTAATAATAAGTTTAAAGATAACCTTAATAGACGATATAAATTTTTTTACCTATCTAATTTAAACCTTTGAAGGAAAAAAAGAAACACTCATATTTCCTCAAAAACTAAAAAAGTGGTATTGTAGTAATAATATAATTATTTATATTTTTGGATTGGAAGTTAATAAGCGATGTATTTTAAAACCTTTAGTGGTAGTAAGAAAAAGGAATACTAGATAGTAACAGTCTGGAAAATTTTTTAATATATGGTGTCTAATATTTCACAAGATCGTTGGAAATTTTATGTGTTAGTTTTTCTTCAATTTTAAGAATTCTGTTGGTCAGCTTAAACAAAAATAAGTAAGTTGCAAATACTTTTAGTAAACAGGAATATTTTATTTCTTTAATATTTTTCTAGCAGTTTTTAATTTTTCAAGACTGTGACCATACAATACACGTGGAAATAATTTCTGGGTCGTATGAACAACTAGGCAATACAATCTTTTTCATATAGGTATATTTTTTATTTATTGACCACATTTTGAGTCTGTCAAATAATAGGTTAAAGTAACTCGAAATATAAAATAGACTCTTTATTAAATTATCTCCGTTGTACTAACTGACTTGAAATTCAAATAGGGTTGAAATTTTATATGTATCAAGATGGAAAAGAGCAAAAACTGCTAAGAAAGATATTTTAATTCCATCATGTTTTCGGCAATATTGAAATATCCATAACTACTAAGTTTTGTTTAGCAGGTATAGCATGAATATAAAATTGTGCTTTACTAGAAAAAAGTAAATGGCGATGAGCAGATTATGAGTAATAAAAGCTTGTTTAACTCCTCCCAAAAACTAGATATTTTTGAAACTATTTCACTATCGGTATTTCCTCTTTTTCATCTCGCTTCAAGCGTTTGAATTCAAATTGGAAGTTAAACCCTAGATAGTCTATTTTACACATTTTGGCAGGAAGTTTTAGAAATTGAAAACCATACATTAATAGATTTTACTACAGTAAGTATAATCTAAATTCTGTTCTGCTTGATCCAGCCGGGCACCTGAGACCAAAATTGGCTCATTTCCCATTTAGCATGAAGTAGAAAATGCATACGTAGAAAACTGGTTACATTAAGGGGCGAAGTTCAAATTGGAGTTGAGAGAAAAATGGCACTTTGCCATGGTGTGGAAAAACGTGTGAATGTGACAGGAAAAGGAGTTGAGAATGGTCAACAATGAAGTAGTCGGCTGTACTTTTGCTTGAAGTAGATATCTCGCTGTTGGTATGATTACTTATTTCAATGAAGCGATTGGCGTCACCAGACTCCGCTGCTAATTTAACCCCACGGAACCTATCAGCCGACTCTAGGGTTTAGCTTCGCGAGACCCCTACTTGCGATAAATGCTTCAACCGAAGGCCGGGATAGCCTGGTCGGTAGAGCGCTGGGCCCATATCCAAGAGGTCGTGGGTTCGATCCTCGCCGGCCGAAGACTCCCCGTGTAGTAAATGGTGACTACTGCACGTTAAATCTGTCGAGTCTCAAAGTCCTCCATGTTCCCACAACAAATCAATACCTCTGGGGGTACTGATCCAGGAGTTTCCTTGTCTTCTGGATTGGTTCAAAATTACAAGGCTACGGAGTTGAACATTAGTAGTCGTAAACCCATGAAATTGGGTCGGCTGTTCAACGACGGTTATAAAATAAAATAAAATGCTTCAACCAGAGCAACGGTGGCTCAGGGGATAGAGCGTTCGCCTTCCAATGAGGTGAACTGGGTTTCGATCCCGGCGATGGCCGATTGAAACGAAATCCGCATCTGGCTTGCATCGACCACAGTGCTGACGTGAAATATCCTCAGTGGTAGACGGATCATGGGTTAGAGTCCCCTAGCCGTCAGGCTAACCGAGGGAGGTTCTCGTGGTCTTCCTCTCCATGTAACGCAAATGCGGGTTAGCTCCATCAAAAAGCCCTCAACGAAAGCAAATTTCTCCCAATACTCGATACAGGAGTTCCTTTGTCTTCTGGATTGGGTTCAAAATTACATGGCTACGGAGTTGAACATTAGTAGTGGTGAACTCATAAAAAACTGGGTCGGCTGTTCTACGACGGTTATAAAATAAAATGCTTCAACCAAACGGGTTCAAACACAAATGACCGCCATTAACATGAGTTAACTGTCCTAAATGCTACTACAGAGAGGTCGATGCAAAAATCACATTCTTTGGTCAATGCTTCAACAATTTACTACTGCCAGCTTGCACGGCGTTTTCACGTTGACTGAATCTGGAAACTACAACATCTCGATGTTGTGTTATTAAAACATTGATCCGTGAACGACATCTGAGTGGCCGTACGACTGGTACCCGGAACGCTTCATACATCATCCGTTGAATGACTGCTTGATCATCCGGCTTGGCGAACCAGCAAGGCACGTCTGTCTCTGTTTGCGTCTCAATCAGGAATGAAAATGTATATTCAATTTAGGAACTTTATTATATTGATTTGAATTATTTCAATATAGTGAAAAATCAAAATTTTTGCAAATCAGTTTTGCTAAAACCAAAATAAAATTTTTTTGCATAGATTTTTTAATCACTTTATTAATTTTGAAAAAACTACACAAATTTCGGTAAGTATGTAATAGTCATTATATTACCAGATTTCAATTGCCCTTAACCTATTCGATATTAACATTACATGCGAGCAACTTTTTCAAAAATATTTGTTAAAGCTGTTATAGATTGAAATTTTAAAAAAAAGTTGTAGGCTAGATTTCATAAGAATTGGAGCAAATTTGCCTCTATAGCTACAACTTCAATTTTAAAAAAAATACGGGGATTCACTGTAGTACGGATTACGTATATATGCATCACCTCCTACATCAAGAAGCCTCCACACGATCTTTTATAAGTAGTCCGCGCAGACTGTTTAAAAAGTAAACCAGTTGTGCGCATGAACCCAAAACATTTTATAAAAGTAATTGAGAGAAATTTATCTTATATATTTGAGAATAGAATTTGTAGTGGTTGACAAGTGAATAAGGCAAACCAATAATATACGTAAATAAAATAAATTTTTAGTCATAAATTTGCTACCACTTTCTTATTTGAATTAGATTCTATATTAAATGACTCGTTCGGTTCGACTGACCGGACTACCTATAAAAAACCGTGCGGAGGCTTTCAGTTATAGGAAGCGTTGCGTCAGCACGAATGGATAATTTTTTAAAAAGAACGGAAACGAATAAGTTTTGGCATCAATTTTTTACCTTTCGTATGGTTTGCAGACATTTCATAAACGTATGTTTAGGTGATCCGTTTGCAATGCGTTTATCATTCGTCGCCAATTTGTGATTTCAGTTAGATGAAGAGGCAAGAGTTGCTTAGTAATGAGTGCTACATAGAATTATAGTTTTTTTGTCTCAATTTGAATAATAATTAACTACTTAAGTATTCAAAAGTTGTGGAAGTCTTTCCGCAAATAAATGTTTACAATCAAATAACTGTCTCGTTATTATTCATCACGGAAAGTTACAACGACCAGACAACAAAAAATCAATACGTTTTTAAATCTTTTTCTTCTCGTAGGTTATCTTGCTTCATATTTTCCGTTTTCCATTAATTTCGTTTATTTCAGACAAACTTTATGCACGCTTAAATATTTATTTTCAAACCTATTTAAGAACGCTTTATTTCAAAGGCACGCATAATGCTCGTTAAATCACAGTCTTTCCGAAAACTCAATGATTGTTTCCGAAAACAGAAAGCAAATTATTTTAGAATANATTTCGTTTATTTCAGACAAACTTTATGCACGCTTAAATATTTATTTTCAAACCTATTTAAGAACGCTTTATTTTAAAGACACGCATAATGCTCGTTAAATCACAGTCTTTCCGAAAACTCAATGATTGTTTCCGAAAAAAGAAAACAAATTATCTCAGAATATAATTATAGGTAGTTTTTTTTAAGTATAATCATTAAAATAACTGTTATATACTAATTTGAAAAACTATGCAGTGCAAAAATGCATTTAACATGATATAAACTTGTTGCTTAAACTAATGATTCTCAATCTATTAATAAGGTGCATGTATTGCATGCTTGAAAAGATCATCTACAATGATCTTTTCAAGCATGCAGTTCTATGCTGGTCGAAACTATTAAAATTAAAATAGTAGTTAGAGAGTTATGGCATTTTTCATTTAATTTTGAATGAAACGATTTATTTTGATTTACGTCTGCATTATAAGTAAAGATATTTATTTCTAAAAATGAGAATGAGGTTATTTTT